ATAAAAATTATTTTATCCAAAATTAAAGAAGTTTTAAATAATTTAATAAGATTTTCAAAACTTTCTTAGTACATTATATATTAAATTATTAATTTAATTTAATTTTAAATAATAATATGTCTAATTAAATAATTTTATAATAAATAATTTTTTTAAAATATAATTACTAAATATGCAAATATTTTTTAAGGTAATATAATCCAACCCCTTCTAACAACTACAACTATGAGATAACATCAAATAACATTACCAAACTCAACCTTATCCTATTTCTTTTTATATATTCTTTTAATTATACAATAAAAAAATTATTATATTTCATCTTTTATTTTATTTTACCTTCGTATTATACAATTTAAATTCAAAATAATTTATTTTCGGAAATTACGTGAGATATTATTTAGTTTATTCACACTTTCAAAACCGCGTGATGAGGTGGCACCGTGCAGTTCCTCGCTGCTCTTTTCGAAAACGAAATCAATTATTGTCATGTTTGGGGAGGGATGGAGTGACGGAGTCGGTGAGGGAAGGTAGATCTGGAGGTGATGATGTTGCCACGTGGTGAGACGAGGACAGACATGATTAAACGTAGATTTCGGGGGTGGAATAATGGATGGGCCGTGGGCTCTGTCAGCCCTGGGCCCTGTCCATATACGATCACAAATATTCTTCTTTTTTACATTTTTTTTTTCCGTAAAAATCCCAATTAATCTCATTTTCTAATTCTCAAGGGTTTTGAATTAGAATAATGATAAATAAAATTAAAATTTAATATTAAAATATGAAATTAATTATGTAAGTTATGTCACTTTATTTAAAATATTAAAAAAATAACAATATATTATTTAATGATTATCTTTTTTATTTTTTTAAGACTCTTAATATTGTATACAATAACTAATTTAATAACATGACATGAATCAAGTCATTCATTTTAAATTTTCATCACAAATTTTCATCCTTCTTATCATTACTCTTTGGATAATCATGTTAGCCAAATGACATTTAGTGATCAATCGTAACCTCCTCTTATTCAAAGTAAACATATAGGTTTCATTTGTTAATTTTGTATTTTTTTTTATATTAACTTTTTGATATCCGATAATCATATTGGATCCCAACTAATACGAAATTAAATCGCTTCAGAACTCATTAAGAGGAAAGTTTTTACAACGTCTGTTTTTTCATTTACAATATTTAAATTCAAAATTTTATTTAAGAGAATCAAAATTCTATTTAAGAGAATCAAAATTCCTTTCATTCGAACCAATAGATTATTGGTTTTTATCAATATTGTATTGTGATGCATTACGTTATTATTATAAGTTTTTTATTCATTTTTTTATTATCTTAAAAATATATTAAATTCTGATTAAAATTAATAAAAAATATATACCAAATTAATTTAAATTTTAAAATTTACTCATATATTTTTAGATAATCTGTCATGTGAATAAGATTTATGCAAACCATAAACAAACGAATTAAGCAAGAGTCTAATTAGTTTAATTGTAACTTACCTTTGTTATACTCATCCCCTCCCCTTTCCTAATATTAGAAAAAGAAAAAAAAAAGGTAGTTTCTTTTGTAAAAGTGTTAAATAAACAAATTTATATAAAATAAATATAAATAATTTTAAAATTTGTTGAAAAATATTTTTTGATTTAATTGTTAAAAATTACTAAATCTAGAAGC